TCTATATGAATTTTACAAATATACTTTTCTAAGAATTTATTAATTTCATTTTTATTTTCAAATTTATGTTATATCATGTTCTTCATGGTCACATATCTTTTTAATTCTTTTTATATGTATAGATAAGATATATACCATTTTTATGATATTATTTGTACCTTTTTTCATTTTTTTCTTGGTCAGTCTCAACAGAGGTTGTCTGTCTTATTATTCTAAGAAGAATCAACTGTTTTTTTTCCCTAGCTCATTGATGTGTACTTTTATAAAATATATTATCCTTTGGGAGTTTTTATTCTGTCATTTCTCTTTGAACTGTTAAATTTGGTTCCTTGCATCATCAATTCACAGTCTGCCTTCCTTTTTGCCACAAGAATTTAAAGATGTTAATTTCTTTTGAATGATAACTTCTCATAGGTTTTGATATGCTATATTTTTATTGTTCAGTTCTAAATACATTATATTGTCATTATAATTTATCTTTATTTTTATTTTTCAAAATTAATTTATTTTAGACAGAAAGTGAGTCTGAGAGCAGGGATAGAGGGAGAGGTAGAGAATCTTTAAGCAGACTCCCTGCTGAGCACGGAGCACTATGCAGAGCTTGATCCCAGGACCTGAGTTGAAATCAAGAGTCAGATGCTTAACTGACTGAGCCACCTAGGTGCCCCTATAATTTATTTTAAAATTTATTATTAAATAAAATTATTGTATAAAAAAATTGTTGTCTTAATTTCCAAACATATGGAAATTTATGTTTTTGTCTTTATTTGTGAACTTTCTATATCATGGTCAGGTAACAAAATTTGAATGATAACAGTTTTTGAAATCTGTTGAGACTTGCTTTTTGTCCATGAGACTAATTTTATTTTCTGTTGAGAGAAAATTGTTCTCTAACTGTATGTTTCAAGGTTCTATATAAACTTGTTAATTGTGTCATTCAAATAATCTGTACTTTTAGTAAATTTGTTTTCTTAACCTAAAGTTCATTGAATCTTTCATTATGATGATGAGTTTGTCCAGTTTTCCCTCTACTTCTGTCAATTTTTACATTATGTATTTTGTGGCTATGTTATGAGCTGTTTGTAAATTTAGAATATTTTTGTCTTCTTCCTGAATTTCATCTTATATCATTATAAGTGTTCCTCTTTCTCCTTTATCATTTCTCTTTCATTTGGTATTAATAAAACTGTATCAGTTAAAAAAATTAACATTTGCATAGTATATCTATTTCTGTTCTTTTCAAGTTTCCCTCTCCTTATTTTTTCTGTATTTTGTCTTAACAGCATATAGCAGAATTTACAATCTAACCTTATTGTCCCTTTTTAATTGACAAGTTCAGACCATGTATATTTATTGTGATTATTGATTTAGTTCTTCCATCTTAAATGCGCTTTCTACTCGTCATTTTTCTCTATGCTTTTTCTCCCCCTCTATTCTTGCCTTCTTAATTGAGATCCTATTTGTTAATCCTCTTTTATTTCTTTTTAAAATATATATATATATTCAACTTTATTTCATAAGAAAAATTCATTTAAGTCACATGGTGACCATAATTTCATGTCCTAAGCAGGCTTTGCCATTCTACTGCCCCCTTCAGACCAATATATGCACATATACACTATGTTGAAGAAAGGACTTTGACATGTGAAACAATGAGAATTGGATACTAACTACTCCATCATCTCCCTTCCTACAGCCAGTCTACACATTTCTTCAACTGTTATCCACACACAGACAAGGTTTCATGAAGAGTGGCTGAACACCAAATAAAGTGACCATAAGATACCCAAATCCAAAGGAACCGTTGGCAAATGTTGTGGAAGCAAGGATGAAAATGACACCATCTTCCAGCCACTAAACATGAAGCACAAACTCTCATCCAAAAGCCAAGACATCAGAGCCATGTTGACAAGGACAGCAAAGCATACAGCAGAACCCAAGCAGAAGAGTGACATCACTTCATCCCACAGTTATAGGCACCCCACTCACACATGTGTATTAAATAGGGTTCTTTATCCAGGACAAGGATAGGGCCAGGACAGGCTCTTGAAGGGCCAGATGGAGAGGCCCTTCAAGGGACTGTTAACAGTTCTGATAACACTTTGCTCTGAACTTGCCTGCCTAGGAGTTTGACACCTGGCTCGACACACATAAGGCAGTGTTCCAAGGTTATAGCTGGTGGAAAGAGATCTTATCCACACCCTTCTAGATGGATGGTCTGGAAGGTGCTTGGGGACTTTGTGTTAGCCAATTGACCTCTGGTGGTCCAGGAGCTCCCATGCAATGGGCTCTCCACTAAGCCCCCCAGGGACTCCATCAGTCTAATAAAGACAGAGTGCAGAGTCAGCACCACACCTAAGAGACAGAGGTTCAACAACAGGCTTCACAGCTGAAAAGATCCCACTCCTTTGTAGAACAGTAGAGCTGCCTTAAACTTCTGGAATTTCTTTGGATCTTCTAGGAGGAAGGGTCTGGAGTATCCTGCTCATGGTAATAGTGGGTTGTGTTAGAATCAGGAGAAAGTCAGTCAACCCTATATGACTCAAGAGAACAAAAATGCAGCCTGCAGTGAAGTACAGAGCAAGACCACCTACATTGCTCACAAATCAATCTGGTTTTTCAATTCAGGTTTTATTTTCTACCTGTTTAAAAGGTGTGTTCTTTATTTCTGTCATTTAGAAGTTACCCAAGAAATTTTACCATACTTATTTAGCAACTTTACAAAGTATGAATTCAATATCTGTATCTTACCTTTGACCATGTATTTATCAATTAACAAATTCCAAATTTAGGGGCACCTGGGTGGCTCATTCAGTTAAGCAACAGCGTTCAGCTCTGGTCATGATCTCAGGGTCCTGGGATCGAGCCCCCAGATCGGGCTCCCTGCTTAGCGGGGAGCCTGCTTCTCCATCTGCTTCTGCCACTACCCCCAGCTTATGCTTTCTTGCTCTCTCTCTGTCAAATAAATAAAATATTTTTTAAAAATTCCAAATTTACTATCCATATCTCACTTTTTTAGCTTCCTTCTGTTTTCCTCCTCTTCCACCTTTTCCTTACTCTTTGATGCTTCTTTCTCCTTGATTCCCTTCTTCTTTCCTTGGATGTTTCACTTTCTGGATAACCCAACAATGATTTAAAAAATACGTTTGTCACCATTTAGACAGGTTCTATTTACATTGTATCAGTGGACCCTGCAGAGTAATCAATCACATAGTGGATATTTTCTGTCACTGTCTTGACAGTAGATACTAAGAGTAGAATTTCTGGATCATTTTCAGATTTAAAAATTATGCCAGTTTTCTACCATGGTGATTATACTTACTAGCTGACACTCTTCTCAAAAGCATATGAAAGTGTTCATTTTCTCAAAAATTTGCTAATGTATAATATCAAATGCTTTAATTTTTGTTAAAATTTAATTAGTGAAAACAATGCATTATTACTTGAGGGTGAGCATCTTTTTTCATATATACTGGATTCTGGTTATTACTCTTCTATGAATTGCTAGTTTTCATCCTTTGCTCATTTTATAGGAGTGGAATGCCCAAGATCAAGTCAAATTGGACAATAGCTTTGGTGGGTGGGAATTCTTTGAGAGAGGGAAGGGTTCAAGCTTCATAGGGTTGTTGGATGTTGGATTAGGTAACTTATAATGTCTCTGCCAATTTTAGGAGTCCGTGATTAACAGTGGACTGAAATGCCCAGAAACCTAGAGCTGAAGAAAATCTGATGTGAGATGGATTTGTGTGCATTCTACCTAATCAGTTAATGAATCACTTCTCAGTTCTGTTTTGTAGAGGAGCCGTTATTAAATTTGGGAGGGACATGAAAAGGCATTGCCAGGGCAGGACTAATGATGGCTATACTGTTAGGAGGAGGAGGGTAGGACTTTAGGAAAAGTGGACTTTAGGAGAACAGCTGCAGGGAAATTGGGCTGTTGGGCTTGGCGCTCTGCCTCACCATCCCAGCTCAAGAACCCATGAGGAAAAGGTGACCTGCCTAAGGGTAAGTGCGGATAAGGCAACTAGCTTTGGGTTGATTTCCCATACAGCTCCTGTGATGACTGCTATTGGAATTTGGGCATAGACGACAGACTTAAACACAGATAGTCCAAATGATGTGTCAGGGCTGAGACTGATGCACAATATACAGAAAGATATTTAAGGGACTTGAGCCAAGTCTTCATTCTATCAAAGGTTAAAGAAAACTCTCTTTTCAGCGTTAAACAGTGTCTATTTAGGTAGAAGGAAGATACGTTGCAAGTGTGTATGTGTTAGTATTAATAATTTAAATGGTACATAGCTAGAGGTTAGGACCCATGAAGGAGGTTCACTTTAATAGGGACTATAGCTTTAGGAAAGTTTTTCTCCGGGTAGTAGAATAGGGCAGAAGGTTGGGTGGGTAGAGGGAGGAGATTCTTTTGGTATATACTAGACTGACTGCTGTGATGGATTTTCGCAGAGAATGGCAGAAATCAAGAGGAAGCAGAGAGCGAGGAATACCTAAGCCGTTGTAATTTAGAGAAATTCGAAGGAAGGCAGGACAGGAGCAGCGACCCAGTGCAGGGCGTGGCGGGTCCAGTGGGTCTCCAGTGAGGGAAGGTGGGCGAAAAGAGGGCTGGACCTCGGGAGCGTAGCCACCCACTCTCTGCCGCCTCTTTCTCTAGAAAAGGAGCGTGGTTCGGGCTACGGGGCTGACCACCGCACCACCCGCGAGGCCGCAGCGGAGTCCGAAGCGCCGTCTCAGGCGAGCCAGAGCCTCCCAGCCCCCGAGGGCGGTGGGACCGACACACTTCAGCAGGGCGAGCTCGAGGCGCTCTAGGCGTCCGCGGTGGACCTCGCCGAGCGCGGCTTCCCGCCTTTCGCCTGCCTCCGGGGGTGGGTCCGGCTGGGCAGCGGATGGGAGCCGGGAGGTCTGGGAGTCGTCTGGTGCTCGCGCTGAGATCTCTTGGTCCTCCCAGGTAGGAGCCGCCGGAGACCTGGAGGGAGCTGAGCGCACGCGGAGCACCGCGCTGGACGCGCGCCTCGGCGCGGAAGAGAGGTACTCCATTCGCGCTCGGGTTTCCTCTCCCGAGTCCAGATGACCCACCCGGAGGCAGGAGTGTAATCTGAAATTCTTGTGGAAGAAAATTCTCAGGCCCCGCCCAGTCCTTTTCTTTTAAAAATCGTTTCATAAATTGGCACTCTCCGCTCATTTGGGGGGGGAGGGTGGGGGGATCTGCACAGTTCTCGACAATGTGAAGCGATCCGAATAACCTAAGTTTAAATTTGTTTCTTTTGTCCCTTTATCCTAACTTATTTTAAGGGAGGTGTCAGACAGCAGTATATCAGTAAGGAGGTGGTGGTGAGTCTTCTCCATCTGCAACCCCCCAAACCTCCACCCCCGCCGCCCTGCCTGTCAAGGTTGTGTCAGGGACATTTCCAATGTCAGCCTGGGATAGTAGCCCTGCGGCAATTCAAAGCCAGTTTAGTCCTTGATGTCCACTTATGTAGCTAGTTTACTGAGTGATCAGTTGGCAGGGAAACTTGTGCAAAGAAACATTAGAAAATGCCAAGATTTTGCCGAATGTTACTGGCCCTGCACATATCATAATAGCTTATATTACCTTTATTGTCTTTGTGCTCCTTCAGTTATATATGTTAATATTCTTCAAACAGATCCTGAACAACCTGAGAGAAGCCAGGGAGCTACCAGGCATCAGTCCATAACAAATATTTTTCCATAAATAAATGTAAGAAGGATCAGTTACTTTGAAACTTGGTGCTTGGGCATCCAACACCATTTGGGTTAATAGATTGGTGACATCTAAATTAAAAAAATAAGTAAACGCCTTTTTCTCATGGCTACACATAGAATGGACTGTATTCTGATTTCCTTACTTGGAATGTGTTGTGGTAGAAATCTTGGATAGAGACCTGAGCACTTGCTGAACCATATCAGGAGTATTTTTCTAATTCATAAAGGGAGAAGTTTGGAGCACATGCTTTTAAAGATTTTTCAGCTCTAAAAGTCTGTGATGAAATGAATCCATCACATCTTCATAAACATGTTTTGGATTTCAGTGACTCCTGAAGACTTTATCAGAATATTGATTAAACAAATTGTAACTGAATTTTTTCAAAGGAAGGTCTGAGAGTCAACAACTTAGAAGAAAACCAACAAATACATAGTAAGCAAATTTGGCTTGATCAAAACCAAACACATATATATTTACGAATTTTTAGGTTTAAACAGATCATTAAGTAATTGAATCATTTTCTTTTTCTTTCTTTCTTTCTTTTTTTTAAAGATTTCATTTATTTGTCAGAGAGAGAGAAAGAGAGTGCACAGGCAAGCAGGGGAGTGGTAGGCAGAGAGACAATCAGGCTTCCCACTGAGCAGGGAGCCCAATGGAGGTCTCAGTCCCAGGACCCTGGGATCATGCCCTGAGCTGAAGGCAGATGCTTAACTGACTGAGCCACCCGGTGTCCAAATAATTTTCTTTTTAACTTAAAAATACTTTCCCTGTTTTTTTTTTTTTTTCAAGAAACAAAGATGAACATTGGAGAGGGAAAGGAAAAATAAAATAAGATAAAAACAGAGCAGGACGCAAACCATAAGAAACTTTTTTTTTTAAGATTTTATTTATTTATTTGACAGACAGATCACAAGTAGGCAGAGAGGCAGGCAGAGAGAGAGAGAGAGAGAGAGGAGGAAGCAGTCTCCCCGCTGAGCAGAGAGCACGACACGGGGCTGGATCCCAGGCCCCTGGGATCATGACCTGAGCCAAAGGCAGAGGCTTTAACCCACTGAGCCACCCAGGCGCCCCACCATAAGAAACTCTTAAACACAGAGAACAAACTGAGGGTTGCTAGTGAGGAGGTGGGTAGGAAGATGGGCTAAATGGGAGAGGGGCATTAAAAAGGGCACTTGTTGGGATGAGCACTGGGCACTGTATGTGGGTGATGAATCACTGGATTCTGCTCCTGAAACTGGTGCAACCTTGTATGTTAACTAACTTGAATTTAAATTAAAAAATTAAAACTTAAAAAAATTATTACTTTTTTTCCCTGTATAGACAATGAGTTTTGCCACAAGAAGATGGTTCTACCTACCACTGGGATGCATGATGTTGATCAATCTGATGAATGCTGATTTTGAATTTCAAAAGGGGGTGCTTGCCAGCATCAGCCCAGGCATCATGAAAGATATTGATTTCCAGTGCTGGAATGCTTGCTCTTTGACGTTGATAGATCTCAAGGAACTCAAGATACAGCACAATGTGGATGCTTTCTGGAATTTCATGTTGTTCTTGCAAAAATCCCAACGGCCTAGACATTACAATGTCTTCTTAAGCATAGCTCAGGATTTCTGGGACATGTATGTAGACTGCTTGCTTTCACGATCTCATGGAATGGGCAGAAGACAGGTGATACCTCCCAAGTATAATTTTCCACAGAAGGTAACAGGAGGTAATTTAAACGTGTATTTAAGAGAACAACAGGTTTAGTATTTTAAAAAATTAAGTATTTAATCCTTATTTGCCAACAAGCTAACAAATTTGCCCGATTTTTTCTAACATGATTGACTTTGATTTTCATTTTTACTGATTATGTATTATTAGAAACTGCAGGAGCTCTGATATGCAGAGATCTAAATAATCTTGAGATATAATGCATTTGGTAGATCATTAAAATTATTACCTTATTTTCTCCATGGATAGTTAGTTCATAAGAAAACTATTTAACACCATAATCATTCCCATTACATTTATTGAAGAAATTTTAAACATAGGACATATAGTTAGGTTTTTAAATTTTTTTCAATAGGATTATAAAAGGAAGACATCTTAAGAGTCACATTAGAGTGACAATAATTTCTCCTCTCTAATATTATAGGACTGGATTTTACAAAACATGAGTTTTACGTATAAGAGAGAGAACGTGGAAAAGACCTCAAGCAAGGTGACATCAACCTGAACATTTAATCTGTCAGTATTTCTGAGGTCAAATATTTCCTGCAGTATTTATCAAAATTGTTATTTCTAATTCTTTAATATTTATGAAAGTTGTATTTGTGTTGATGTGGAAGTGCTTTATGGCTTTTGAATTAGCATTTCTGTCTTTTCAAGTAATTTGTCAATAATTTTTTATTTGGAAGGCATCTTTGTAAAGCATTTTTAAAGAAAACACTTAAAATGCAAATGCAATATATTTTTAAATACAGTAGTCAATGGAGTAATGCTGTAACTAATTTTATAAGATATCTTATACATAATGTTGACTTTAAAACTGTGCCAAAATTAATGCCAGTATTGTCCTAAAAGGTAATATTTAATCTTGATGTAATATACCAAGTGGCTTCTGAAATGTGCATTTTATCACCAAGCCATCCCTTATATTAAAGTGTTTTTCTATGCATTAAGGACTAACTTTTTTTATGTTCTCACTTTTATTGTCTTCAGTTTTTAAAAAAGAATAACAAACAGAAGGTAATAAGAAACTTTGTTTTAGTACAGTCTGATAGAATTTTCATCTTTAGTTATTTGCTCAGTTTTCTTCTTTTTAAAATATATTTCCTATTTCCATCTCACATCTTATTCCAAAAAGGATATGAAGCTTTAAAAATCTATACCAAACAGTAGGATAACATCAAGTAAACGAGGAAATTGAGATGATGGGAAATGAAGACAGGAGACTAATAATATGTAGTTGTAGTTTAGATTAATACTTTCTTTTTTTTTTTTAAAGATTTTATTTATTTATTTGTCAGAGAAAGCGCACAAGCAGGCAGAGTGAAAGGCAGAGGCAGAGAGAGAAGCAGGCTCCCCGCTGAGCAAGGAGCTGGATTTAGGGTTCCATCCCAGGACCCTGGGATCATGACCTGAGCCGAAGGCAGTGGCTTAACCAACTGAGCCACCCAGGTGTCCCCAGCTTAATACTTTCAAATGCACATTGTAAAAGCCTATACCTTTGATAAAAGGGTGGCCGTAAATTAGTCTGAGTTTCCTACTTCTCAGGGTGAAGAAGGACTCATGAGCAGTTGCAAGATTAACACTGTTTATAAGAAAAACCAAACAACATGTTTAGGAGAAGCCCAGCTTTTGCTAGGACTAAGAACCAATAAAAATCATAGGTTTTTATGATGGCTACCATGGTATACAGCACTGTTTTTTCAAGATCCTGGCAATGTCAGATTCCCTTCAATACAAGCGGATGCTTACACATCCAAACTCAATTACATATAAGTAATTTTAAGAGCCCCCCAAATAATACACAACAAATGTGCAACTGTCTAATGGTTTGACCAGAGTAAACTTTAAACTTTTAAAGGGTGAAGTGGGGCTGACACTTTGAAGCTCTGATGAAGCAATAAACACTTTAGTAGAAGTTGCATGTACACAGTGTCCATCATTTGTGGATGATTTGGGGGGAACGGTTCATGGACCTCAGGTTAAGAATCTTCAGTGTATTTTATTAATTTTAATTTTTTGTGTCCATTTTTAAAGAATCTCCAATATTAAAAAATAAATGAATTGCATAGCTTTCTAGTATTATTTTACAAATATTTCATATAACGTAGTTTTTTTTTAAGATTTTATTTATTTATTTATTTGACAGAGATCACAAGTAGGCGGAGAGGCAGGCAGAAAGGTGGGGGAGGGGAGGAAGCAGGCTTCCCGCTGAGCAGGGAGCCTGTTGCGGGGCTCAATCCCAGGATCCTGAGATCATGACCTGAGCTGAAGGCAGAGGCTTAACCCACTGAGCCACCCAGGCTCCCCATGTAACTAAGTTTTATATAGTAACTGGTTGCAGATAATAGGAGGTTGTAAGTCTAATGAATTTCCACATTGAAAATACTTTATCTTACCAGTTAAGGACAGATCCTTAAACAGTTCATAAAATCAAGTGGTTGGAGGATCGGTCTTATGTTCTCTTATTCAAATGACCAGAAAGAGACACAAGAAGTTGCCTAATTCCTTTCCTACAGGTGGAGGCACAGGGTCATGATTTTCCCTAGAGAATCTCTCTCTTTTATGTGTGGGCAAATGTTTGATGCTCAAAAGTTCAATGGCATAAAGCAAAACCGGATCATTTTAGCCTAAGAAATGGTTCAATCACATGTCCTCACCATAGTTGTCATAAAAAATTTCTACTGCAACAAGGATGAACTTTTTAGTGTTAATCAATTAAACTTAATTGTTAGCCTTCCAAAATAGGTTAATTGCAAATGGGTTTCTAGTTTTCCTAATTGAAATATATAGGCTACATTGGATTTTTAAACATAAGGACATACGCCAAAATGGGCATTCTGGTTTTAGAACAGTTCATCTTAAGCTTTTTTGCTGGTACTTAGATATCATATTCTGTTAAAAATCCCTTCCCCACACTGCAATTTTTGGCACAAATCATGTCATTTGTATATAGAAAAAAATATTTTTTCATCATTCATTCATTCAACAAAAACTCATTGAGCTTAGAGGTACATTGCTAAATAATCCTTGACTCACAGAGCTGCCATTGCAGTGGGACAAAGGTACAGTAGGAAATAATATTTCAGAAGTAGTTTTACGATATCAAAATATAAGGTTAAAAAGAGAAATGGTGGAGCCCCTAGGTGGCTCAGTGGGTTAAGCCTCTGCCTTCAGCTCAGGTCATGATCTCAGGGTTCTGGGATCGAGCCCCGAGTCGGGTTCCCTGCTTCCCCCTCTCTCTCTGCCTGCCTCTCTGCCTACTTGTGATCTCTCTCTCTGTCAAATAAATAAATAAAATCTTAAAAAAAGAGAAATGGTAGTCAAAATGTGGTTGAGTGGGGAACAGTGTGTATTTCTCTTCTGCCCTATTCAAAAATCATCTGACTAGATGAGTAAAAAAATCACTTTTAAACTTTAAATAAAATTTTTATTTTAGAATAGTTTTAAGTTTGCTTAAATTTCCAAGGATGGTGCAGAAAGATCTTGTATACTCACCTATTTTTTTCCCTATTGTTAACATCTTACATTAGTAGGGTATGTTTGCCATAACTGATAATCTAATAGCGATAACTTATTAGCCAAACTCCATATTTTATTTGGATTTCATCAATTTTTCCCTGTTGTCCTTTTTCTGTTCCAGGATCCTGTCTAGGACACCACCTTATATTGAGTTATCTTGTCTCCTTAGGCTCCAAGATGTTTTAAATGACCTTGAGAATTTTGATCACTGGTCAGGTATGTTATAGAATATCCAATTTGGGTTTGCCTGATTGTATTTCTCAGGGTTAGACTGACTTTATAGACTTTTTGCATGAATACCACAGAGGTAAAGTACTATTCTCAATACTTCAGATCAAGGGTACACACTGTCAACATGAGTTATCACGTATGAAGTTTAACCTTGGCTAAGTAGTATATACCAGGTTTCTCCACTGTAATGTTTTCTCTTCTCTTTCTATACTCTATGCTTTGGAAGCAAGTCACTGAGCATAACCCACACTTAAGGGAATGGGCAGTTATGTCCCAACTACTGGAGGAGGGAATATTTACATAAATTATCTGGAATTCTTTGGAGATTTGTCTATCCTCACTCCCTCCTCATCTTCTGTTTCCTTCAGACCTCTTCTGTCATTATTTACTTATATCGTTAGAGACTTACAAACTTTTATTTATGCTTTGGGTTATAATTCATTATTTTGTTGCTGAAATTGTTCCAGATTTGGTCATTGGGAACTCTATAGGATGCTCTAGACACACCTTGTATATTTCCATCCATCCCTGGAACGAACCATTTCTTCAAGGAGTCCTGGTTTCTTTTATTGGAGAATATTATTAGAAACCAAGATCTGAGCAGTAGGTGTTTCTGTATAATTTTGACCTGATAGTACCAGGCCAGTCCCTGAATGTCAGGGACTGCTTTTTTCTTTCTCAAAAAGCATCCTTGACTGGAAATCTAGTACAAGTAATTATGAAACGTACATCCTAATTAAACTAACATAAGCACAGGCTGTGTCAGCAGAGTGTGTGTAAAATGAGGAAGACTAGTTCCATTATATCCTTCATGGGTCTTACGACACTGGAAATCTTTGTTCATTTTGTCTAGTCACAGATTGAGGAATATTAACAAATTGTGGCACTTCAAGAGGGTGTGGCCAGATACAATGTCTGGAATGATTAGGTTAGTTTGTTTTTAAAAAAATTTATTTATTTGACAGCACAAGCAGGCAGAGTAGCAGGAAAAGGGAGAGGGAGAAGCAGGCCTCCCGCTGAGTAAGGAGCCTGACATGGGGCTGGATCCCAGGACCCTGAAATCATGACCTGAGCAGAAGGGAATTGCTTAACCAACTGAACCACCCAGGCACCTCATTAATTAATTAAATAAGAATGATTACAGAAAATGGGTATTTGACCTGAAAAGACTCAGACTGAACATGATAGTTTTTTTTTCCCGTGATATGAAAGGTACCTTGTGCTCCAGAAGACAGACTGAGAATGAGATGAATGAGTTATTCACTGGTTTTTATCCAATATAAGCAAAAATTGGCTAACAGTTTAACCAAGGAATGAGCTCCCTCATGTGGTAAACATCTCATTACTGAAGTGTGTCAAAACCATTTCATCTGTATTCATTAAAGTCCATTTTTATTCTTTTGACTCTCATTTCATTTAGTTTATTAGCAGAAGTTTCAGTTTGAGATCTTGAAATTTTGTCTTAATGGACTCATGGAAGGGAAATATATTGTCTGCCTTTCAGTCAGGCTGGGTGGGCTAAGTAGTCTCAGGAGTAGTGTGGAAGCACCGGATGTGAGGAGAACAGAGACCCATTACAGTTAGTGACATTGTCAGACCGATTCACTTGCTCACTGCAAGGGTGGCTAGAATTGTAATATGCAAACTTGATGCGCATCTATCTACCAAAGTTAAATGTCTGAATTAAGTAACACTACGCTTCATCCACCCACATTCCTTCAGCTGTTAAATCGCTGCGAGATAACAACCTGCCCTATTTTAGCTTTTCTCTTCCTGATGGGTAAGATCAACACAGGAGTGGGGGAAAGGTCCACAGCTATCACAAATTATTTTGATTGTCATCAGTCCTAATGAGTTTGGAGATACCAAGTTGTACTACATACAAAAGTTATCCTCAACCAAGTAATAGCAATTCCATTTCTACACATTGGTTATGTAATAGTATTGGTTAATGTAATAGTATTTATGTCTCATCATTTTAGGGAAAGTCTATCACTGTTACAGAGTAAATACATTTGAACTACTTTAATAAGTTTGTGTTTAGCCTTACCTGTATAGTATTTTACTGGATGAATCTTCCTTTTGAGCTCAGGACTGTTCCACTTGCAGAGCTCAAGGGAAAGGCTGCCAGGAGCTGAGGCCATCATCATACTTATTTAATAATTTATTTACTGATATGTTAGTTTCAATGATGAATGAAATGTGGTTTCTACCTTGTTGTTAGGGAGCTTAGCATCTGAGAAAGGAGCTTGTTAGTCTACGATATGAGGCAGAGATTATTGTTCTTAGCCATGACACTTCATCTTGATTCTGTATCTGATATACTTGAGGTATATCTGGTGCTTTTCGTACGGTCATCTCATCATTGCACGTTCCTATCCATGCCCATTCTTGTCCCAAGAACTACTCTTTGATGGAATCTTTGTGCTTAGGGCTTGCTGTGAAGAGGATGAACAATTTATGCCTTCTAATATCTTGTTGTTGGTGGTGATAATAGGGAAAAGGATTCAGGAGTGGCAAAGCTCCCTGATAAGCTGATGTACATTATCAACTTCTACAGGCCACAAAGAGAATGGGCAGCTGGGCCAGGATGAGAAGCTGCTGGCTAATGGTGTACTGTCAACTCATTCTAATTAGAACATTAGCAACAGCTGGCAGTTTCTCCCTTCACTGCGGATTCCACTGACTTCACAGATGGAGACAATGGAAAATTACTGGATGAGTGTGAGTTGGGGCAAGAAGAGGAGGATGAAGGAGGAAGTAGGAGAAGGTGGGCCTGGTGGAGATAATAGAGCCCTCTCTTATTTATAAGTGGATTTGATGCATGTTTTCCCAACTTTGCATTCAGTAGCATCATGTTGGTAGCTTGTAATTGGTCACAGTGGGACTATTATTTACACCATCCAAATTGGCAAACATTACAAATGAGGGCCTGTTCCCCTTGAAGGGCCGATTGTTACAGATTTACCAGGACACTGCTGAGTGTGCCTATGGGCCTAGAATCTAGACTCAAATTCCAGTATATTTCCCTATTTAAGAAAATAGGTTCTTGTCTCTCCCAGTCTTGGACATGAACTTAACTTTGTGGTTTCCTGGGTGGGGTTGACATGGGAATGGAGACAGGCCATGGAAATCTCTTAATGCCATAAAGGGACACTTTGTTCTACATCCAGCATTAAGGCATCTATCTCCTATTTTTTGGCAAAATACCTTCACCACCAAAGGAGGGAAGACATTTCTTCACTCTCCCCATCCCTTCCCCATTAAAGAAGAAAAGTAGCATTAGAATTTGTTTTGTATATTTTTATATAAAGAGTAAAACCATCTACATTTTTTAAAATTTTGTTGTTTAGCTCATAACTCACATTTACTTTTTATAACAGAGCCAACTTATTTTACTTTGACCAACAAATTTGTTGGAAATGTTTTTGCTGCCCAGTATTTATATATACATACATAAATATCCTGATTCCCCACTCCATCCATATATTTTGGTTGGGGTTGGCCTACTTCTGGTTCTGGGAGTAGGCGGTACTCAGATCTGGCCAAAGTCATGGCGAATGGCTCAGGAGTGGGCATGTGGCCAATCAAGGGTCCCAAGAGGCAGAGGCAGTTGCAGAGACTATTGAAAAACTGGCATGTATTCTTCTCTTCTGGGTATCGACTTGGGAGAAGATTTACTCACAGAGTTTCAGTCCTAGATCCAACAATGGATCTAGTAGTCTGTAGTCTTTTTTTTTTAAAATTAATTAATTAATTAATTGATTTATCTATTTGAAAGACAGAGATCACAAGTAGGCAGAGAGGCAGGCGGTGGGGGGGCGGGGAGCCGGCTCCCTGCTGAGCAGAGAGCCCAATGCGGGGCTCGATCCCAGGACCCTGAGATGATGACCTGAGCCAAAGGCAGAGGCTTTAACCCACTGAGCCACCCAGGTGCCCCCAATGCCTGCAGTCTTAACTACTCCTAGATTTGATAGCTATAGAGCCTGGAAAAGTTTTTATTGGCTTAAACCAGATGAAGTAGTTCACATGCAACCAAAGGAGTTTAACTGACACAATATATTTTATAATTTCCGTAAAGAGAATTAGTGATCTTTCCAAAGAAATTGATGACAACTCTTCTGGTGCTATATGTAGATATTTTCAATACAAATAAATTATATGTACTTAACTTTTATTTTTCATAGTATTTTACTAAAATATTTGCTTTATGTTTATAAAGATATATTCAACTAAAAAATTATAAGCAAACTTTATTTCAAAATCTCCATAGATTATTTTATGTAGGAACACTCTTCTTTGACTCATTCACAGTTTTCACTGCTTTCACCTTTTGTAGGGCTCCTCCTCGAATAGGCAGTTTTTTAAGAGCAATATCTGTATCAGCCAGAGGTCCTCCCAGTAATCGGGCAGGAGTGCTTTCCACTGTTACTACCCGACCAGAAGGCACCTGACAAAGCAAAAGGTATAGGTAAGAGTTCATTTACAAAATTTTTCAATAAGAGAAAAACCCATTCATCCTTCCACTGATTTTAGAAAAGATACAAATTTGTAGCTGTTTCCTGGGAATGCTGTAGGGCTGATGGGGTCTAAACCAGTACTGGGTAACAGTGAATTTATCTTGGAGATAAATATGCCTTAACTGTGTGAAATTTGACCAAAAAAAAAAAAAAATGAGGAAAACCCCCCATACAACTAACATTCTATGGAGACTAAATACAGTACCACTAAGAAAAATTATGAAGCAAAACAAACAAATGAACAAAAACAACAAAAAAACTTACCGTTGTGTTAAGGCCTTTAATATCTGTCCTGTGAAATATTGCATTTGGTGGAGGCTTACTGTATCTAGAGGATTCTATAGCTTTTTCCTGAAGTCTTTTTGCTTTCTGAAGATTTTTAAATTAGAAAGAAAGTAATATTAATTGCTACTAAAGCATTAACTATCATACTTGCAGTGAAGTATGTGAAGTACATTTA